GGGTACTCCGACCTGCTACGTACGACCCTGGGAGGGTACTCAGACCTGCTACGTACGACCCTGGGAGGGTACTCAGACCTGCTACATACAACCCTGGGAGGGTACTCAGACCTGCTACGTACGACCCTGGGAGGGTACTCAGACCTGCTACGTACGACCCTGGGAGGGTACTCAGACCTGCTACGTACAACCCTGGGAGGGTACTCAGACCTGCTACGTACGACCCTGGGAGGGTACTCAGACCTGCTACGTACGCGGACCACGACCACTGTCCTGTGTATTCAGTGTGGGTATAATTAGGGCTGAACTCTGACAGATTAAACACTAACATGTTAAAGTTATCGAGGTGCAGTTGCTCAGGTTTAGTTAAAAAATTGTTTAATGTTAATTTCACAAAATATGTCAATACACCAGAGTTTTTATTATACGTCTGTTTTTTTTTTTAAAGATGGCGTGTTTGTGAGGCTTGTCTAGACAGCAACAGTGTTTGTGAGGTTTGTCTAGACAGCAACAGTGTTTGTGAGGTTTGTCTAGACAGCAACAGTGTTTGTGAGGTTTGTCTAGACAGCAACAGTGTTTGTGAGGTTTGTCTAGACAGCAACAGTGTTTGTGAGGCTTGTCTAGACAGCAACAGTGTTTGTGAGGCTTGTCTAGACAGCAACAGTGTTTGTGAGGTTTGTCTAGACAGCAACAGTGTTTGTGAGGCTTGTCTAGACAGCAACAGTGTTTGTGAGGCTTGTCTAGACAGCAACAGTGTTTGTGAGGCTTGACTAGACAGCAACAGTGTTTGTGAGGCTTGTCTAGACAGCAACAGTGTTCACTGAACGACTGTGTGGGTGCTCACTGTGGGAGGACCCACACATTGGAGTGTTCACTATGGGAGGATCCACACAGTGGAGTGTTCACTGTGGGAGGACCCACACAGCGGAGTGTTCACTGTGGGAGGACCCACACAGTGGAGTGTTCACTGTGGGAGGACCCACACAGTGGAGTGTTCACTGTGGGAGGACCCACACAGTGGAGTGTTCACTGTGGGAGGATCCACACAGTGGAGTGTTCACTGTGGGAGGACCCACACAGTGGAGTGTTCACTGTGGGAGGACCCACACAGCGGAGTGTTCACTGTGGGAGGACCCACACAGTGGAGTGTTCACTGTGGGAGGGACCCACACAGTGGAGTGTTCACTGTGGGAGGATCCCACACAGTGGATGTTCACTGTGGGAGGACCCACACAGTGAGTGTTCACTGTGGGAGGACCCACACAGCGGAGTGTTCACTGTGGGAGGACCCACACAGTGAGAGTGTCACTGTGGGAGGACCCACACAGTGGAGTGTTCACTGTGGGAGGACCCACACAGTGGAGTGTTCACTGTGGGAGGATCCACACAGTGGAGTGTTCACTGTGGGAGGACCCACACAGCGGAGTGTTCACTGGGAGGACCCACACAGCGGAGTGTTCACTGTGGGAGGACCCACACAGTGAAGTGTTAACTGTGGGAGGACCCACACAGTGAAGCGTTCACTGTGGGAGAACCCACACAGTGGAGTGTTCACTGTGGGAGGACCCACACAGCGGAGTGTTCACTGTGGGAGGACCCACACAGTGGAGTGTTCACTGTGGGAGGACCCACACAGTGGAATGTTCACTGTGGGAGGACCCACACAGTGGAGTGTTCACTGTGGGAGGACCCACACAGTGAAGTGTTCACTGTGGGAGGACCCACACAGTGAAGTGTTCACTGTGGGAGGACCCACACAGTGGAGTGTTCACTGTGGGAGGACCCACACAGTGGAGTGTTCACTGTGGGAGAACCCACACAGTGGAGTGTTCACTAAGTGTGATAATCTTACGGTTCACCTTTGCTATGGCAATACTGAAAAATATGTTGGAGCCTTTGATGTTATCTGTCGATACCAGAAGGCGGCCGAGGGGCAGGGCGGGGCGAGGAGCCGGGAGGGGCGAGGGGCAGGGAGGGGCGAGGGGCAGGGAGGGGCGAGGGGCAGGGAGGGGCGAGGGGAGAAGCAATGATGAGTGGTGTTGGGGTGAGAAAAGAGGGAGGGTGATGACGGGTGACGTGGCTTGATTGGTAACTTAGCCCACACACACACAGTCCGTGGTTCGATCCCCAAACGGGTGAAAACACTGTGTGAGCTATAGTAGAATGCATATTAATTGGGACAGTAATAAAATAAGACATTTATTTGGAAAATTAATGTTTATTTGAGAAATATACGGCAATGATATGACATGACAGCCCGTAATGCTATGCATATAAGTGGATTTGGCATGCTGCTCTTACCTGTATTTTTTGTACCTCTGTTTGTATGCTTATATTACTAAATAAATAAATAAATAAATAACTCATTTAATAAGATATATTACCACTCTTTGCTTCTATAAACATTGTTACATGAATTACATAGAATCGACCAATGTTGAACACATTGTGTCATGTTCATCGTTGTGGTACCAGGTCTTAATAACAGCAGCATTTAGCCTCTCCACAGTTGAACAGTCCTGTTTCATGATCCTGCGGTTATTGCCCATAAATTTTCAACTGGGTTGAAGAATGTCAGCATTTTCTGGAAGTGTGGCATGAAGCATGAATCTGCTGGAAAATGCCTTCTCCATCAGGAAAGTCTCTGTCCACAATGGGAAGAAAATGAGTTGTCAGGATTTTCTTGTATTTGTCACTGTTCATCGTTGCTTCAACAATAACAAGTCGTCCAGGGCCTTTAGCAGTAAAACTAAGCCAAAACATCTTAAGTGGGTGTTTTGACGCTTGTTGAATGTGCCCATTCCAAAGAGGTTCGCCTTTGCTCCGTCTTCCTACCAATGATCTGTACCCATGAACTTCAAAATGTGTCTCATATGTCGTCCATCCCATATGATCGAGTGTCCACCACAGCCTTTTTTTTTCTTCACAGCAGCAGTCAGTAATTATTTCTTTACGGGTTCTGGCAGTTCTGCCAACTTCAGGGAGCCAAATCTCTCTCTCTCTCTCTCTCATTGAGCATGTGGTAAAATATCTTTAGATCTTTGCTGGTTTTCTTGGGATCCTTCACACCTTTTTTGTGATAACCTTGTTACCTTTTGTTACCTTATGTTTCCTTCTACATCTTCCTCGACGCAGCGCTCCACCAATCACCAGTGTCATCAGCTCTCTTCAGAATCCGACCAACAGTTGACTTTGCTGGGCTCAAATTTTCGGGGATCTGATACTCAAATCAGCATGTTTCATAAGAACTACAATACTTTCACTCTTCCTAGGTATAACATCCATTATGAATTTCAGCATTAATCATGAACTCAAGAGAAGAATTTGGCAAAACCACATTCACTCACGAAGCACACTTGCAGGAATAATATTACAGAACAACAGCTGTTGTAGCACTGACGAGAGTGGCAGGGTAACACTACAGCTGGTTGCCAGAATTCAGTAACAAACTCTTATGAAAAGAAAAGGAGTCAAAACTACATTAATTATACCGGAGACTAAAACATATGAGAAAATTACAAAATTTACTCCTGTCCCAATTAATTTGCACACTCTTGTACCATTATCCATGGTAGCTGTGTGAGGTACCATGATCCACGGCAGCTGTGTGAGGTACCATGATCCACGGCAGCTGTGTGAGGTACCATGATCCATGGTAGATGTGTGAGGCACCGTGATCCATGGTAGGTGTGTGAGGCACCATGATCCATGGTAGTTGTGTGAGGCACCATGATCCATTGTAGGTGAGGCACCATGATCCGTGGTAGGTGTGTGAGGCACCATGATCCATGGTAGATATGTGAAGCACCATGATCCATGGTAGGTGTGTGAGGCACCATGATCCATGGTAGGTGTGTAAGGCACCATGATCCATGGTAGGTGTGTGAGGCACCGTGATCCATGGTAGGTGTGTGAGGCATCGTGATCCATGGTAGATGTGTGAGGCACCATGATCCATGGTAGGTGTGTGAGGCACCTTGATCTATGGTAGGTCTGTGAGGCACCATGATCCATGGTAGGTGTGTGAGGCACCATGATCCATGGTAGGTGTGTGAGGCACCGTGATCCATGGTAGGTGTGTGAGGCATCGTGATCCATGGTAGGTGTGTGAGGCACCATGATCCATGGTAGGTGTGTGAGGCACCATGATCTATGGTAGGTGTGTGAGGCACCATGATCCATGGTAGGTGTGTGAGGCATCGTGATCCATGGTAGGTGTGTGAGGCACCATGATCCATGGTAGGTGTGTGAGGCACCATGATCTATGGTAGGTGTGTGAGGCACCATGATCCATGGTAGATATGTGAAGCACCATGATCCATGGTAGGTGTGTGAGGCACCATGATCCATGGTAGGTGTGTAAGGCACCATGATCCATGGTAGATGTACAGTGGTTGCGACCATTACATCAACCTCACACCTTTAAAACTCCACTGATCAGCTTTAGCAATCAGTGTAGGTGGGATATAGGTGGGTGCTGGTGACTCTACCTAGAGGTGTACAGTACCGCCCAGGTACACTTGTTCATCCTCCAGGGAAATCCTGGCTTAACCTGGCTTAGACTGTTATCCCGTGTAAGCCGGACCTTGGGCTGGTGTTATCCCTGGAGAGGAGATAGAGGGGCTCTTGATCGAAGGAATTGGAGCTGCCCGTTCCCTAACACCCTACGGGTGTAGCTCTTCCTCGTGATTATAATTATTGTTAAAGGTAGCATGACACCAGATCGTAATAACGTGCCGTGGGTACTTATATATATATATATATATATATATATATATATATATATATATATATATATATATTATATAATATATATATTATATATATATATATATATATATATATATATTATATATATATATTGAGTTAGCATTATTCTCTACCCTAACCCTAATTGTCTCCTTTTCCCAGGCACCGTGTGACTTCCCCTACGAGTTTAGCTCTTCACCGTGAATGTAATGGTATTCTAACAGCCTCGTTACCCTGTCCCTCAGGCTTGACCTACGAGAGGGAGGCGAGAAAGAAGAGTATGTTGACCCAGCTATGGAAGGTCGGGTGAGGTCAGATCTTAGGGCTGCCCACCTCAACTTTGACCCCCTGCAAGGTCAAGATTCTGGCAGATATAGATGCCGAGTGGACTTCAAGGTGTCACCGACCTTGTTCGCCCTCGTCAACCTTACTGTGTACGGTGAGTGTAGGAACATTACTGTGTACGGTGTGTAAGAACGTTACTGTGTACGGTAAGTGTAGGAACGTTACTGTGTACAATGAGTGTAGGAACGTTACTGTGTACGGTGACTGTAGGAACGTTGCTGTGTACGGTGACTGTAGGAACGTTACTGTGTACGGTGTTATATAGGTCACTGTATATGTTTAGAAAGGTCACTGTATAGTGTTAGGAAGCCAATAGCATATAGGTAGGAAGGTCCCTATATGGTGTTAGGAAGGCCACTATATATGGTCTTATGAAGGTCCCTATATGGTGTTAGAAAGGCTGCTATGTATGGTGTTAGGAAGATTCCTATATGGTGTTAGGAAGGCTACTATATAAGGTGTTAGGAAGGTCCCTTCCCGGACTACCTTTCACGAATTTCGCAGGACATCGACAAGCTCACAGTCAAAATACACACACTGTATAATCCTATATACGGAATATCAAAATGGTATACAATACCGACAGGTTGGTAGGTAAGACACATAGGCAACAGTTAGGCAACTTTATTCCGAAACGTTTCGCCTACACAGTAGGCTTCTTCAGTCGAATACAGAAAATATGCAGGAACAGTAGAGATGTGAAGACGATGTAATCAGTTCATCACCCTTGAAGTTGTAGATTTGAGGTTGTCAGGCTGAGGGACTGACAACCTCAAATCTACAACTTCAAGGGTGATGGACTGATTACATCGTCTTCACATCTCTACTGTTCCTGCCTATTTTCTGTATTCGACTGAAGAAGCCTACTGTGTAGGCGAAACGTTTCGGAATAAAGTTGCCTAACTGTTGCCTATGTGTCTTACCTACCAATCCTACATACTGGGTGAGATCTGCCATGTTACAGTTCGCGTCACGATACACACACCAAAACGAAGGCTAGTTACCAGTTTCTGTTTATGGACTTTCCGCATGTGCGGTCCTATTTTTCTTGAAGACTGCCCCTACATACTACAAACATTTACCAAACTCCAGTTCCCAGTCTTCTTCATACAAGACTACAGGCGGAGAACGAAGGCCATCCTGGGAATATAAATATAAATGCAGTATAATACATTTGTGTTTGTTTTTCCATAGTGTCGGTATTTTATACCTTTTATCTCCAGGCCATCCTGAAGTTAAAATGTAGGGGAACACACCAGCAAGAAATATACATAGTCCTGCCTAGCAACAGTGTAGCCAGAACAACACATAACTGGTTGTAACAACGATCTGATAGCTGCATTATCCAACCCTGGTTGTGAGTAATATCCACCTGGCATTATCCACATACACCAATTAACTTGAAGGCAGCCCACTATACAACCTTCTACCATCAATGTTTACAAGATCCTGTGTGGTCACTGTGAAAATAAATACGTCGGAGAGACGGGCAGGAATTTTTCCACTCGAGTTACGTTCAACTGGAACAATCTTAGCTATGCATGCTTGCTCAACAGGGACACAGTGCCGGACTTAACTAAAGCACAGAATGTTTACACGGTGGCCATCAAGACGTTCACGGGGTGGCCGGCAGAACATTCACACGCTGGCCGGCAGAATGTTCACACAGAGGGTGCCACAACCCTGCCTGAGAGAACGTGACTATCTACTTTAACAGTTAACTTAATTTAACATTGCTAATTGATGCTGTAAATTGTTTATTACATTAAATGACTGATGGCCAAGACCTGGATAATAATGTAGAGTTTGTGGGGAAGAGGAGGGGAGGAAAGATGGAGAAGGAAAGATAGAGAGGGAAGGAGAAAGGATGGAGAAGGAAAGGGTCCATGTGAGTATGTCTGTAGAGTTAATATTGTAGGGTGGTGTGCTCAGCTGTTTGTGTATACAGGAGGTCGAGTCTCAGCTACCTGCTCTTAAAACTGTGTAAGAAGTCTGCCTCCATTACTTCCTCACCAAGGCCATTCCACTTCCCTACCACTCTGAGGCTGAAGAAATACTTCCTAACATCACTGTGGTTCATCTGTCTCTTTAACATCCATCGGTGTCCCCGAGTTCCTGCTTCTCGTCTCTCAAACAGCTTATCCCTGCCTACCTTATCAATTCTCCTTAGTATTTGGTATGTTATTATATCCTCTCCTTGGTTCTTTTGTCCTCCAGTGTCGTTAGGTCCAGTTTCGTTAGCCTTTACTCTTAGTTCATGCCTCCCATTTCAGAAACAAACTTTGTTCTTGCTTCTGCACTTACCCCAGTTGCTTAACATAATTTTTCCAGGTGTGTATGTAGGGGGGATTGAGATACCTGTCTCGCCTGGTGGCACTGGTACCACTAACACTCACTATTCTTCCTACAGTGGTACCATCTCGCCTGGTGGTACTGGATCAGAGTAACCGGCCGGTGTCGTCAGGACTCCTGGGACCGCTGATGGAGGGTCATCCACTCACACTTCAGTGCGTCGCTACAGGAGGTGAGAAGCCTAGACAAGATAATACAGTGACACTTGAGACATTGTCAATGATACGAATATCTTAGTAATGGATGGTAGAAGAGTGAGTGGTGGTTGTTGTTTGTAGTATATAAGGGCATGACAGTTCGAGCCATATGAATTCAAGAGGATTTCAGTTAATTCTTGAAGCGTTAAACTCTCTAAGGTTGTTAAGCGCAAGTCGCTGTGGTGCAGGCTCGACCCTTTTCCCGCTAATTGCTGCTGATCTCTGCTCAATCTGGCATTTTATATTCTAGGGTTCGTCGTGGAAAGACGCTTCGTTTAGAACTTAGAATCGAAGCACCACTAGCAAACCCTGAGACTAAAGTGTGAATGAAAAAGGAATCTCTTGCATTGATTAGGAATTAATGTAAAGGTGTGGAGCGTAGGTTGGTGTCTAGAGTTGTGGAACATGTGGAACATCGAAGACACTTGAGGCAGACCGTTTTATGAGATGATTTTTATATACAATTTACGTGTACTGCATCCATCACCAAACTTCTCTCTTTAAGAGCGGTGCATTCAAGCTGGCGAATGGTTCTTGTTCCACAGAAATGATGGTTTTCTTCCTCTGGATCAAAATCTGCTTACCATCCATTTCCCAGGTGCTGTATGTCCGCCTCTTCCCTGTGAATAATTTGCTAATCTGTTATTAGGGTGGGAAGCTACACTAGTACATGGAAAAAACATTTATTAATACATTAATAAATAAATGATTAATTCATATGCTTCACAAAGCGAAGCGTAAGAAAAGGAAATAGGGAATTTAGATGAGAGAAAAAGTGTGTGTGTGTGTGTGTGTGTGTGTGTGTGTGTGTGTGTGTGTGTGTGTGTGTGTGTGTGTGTGTGTGTGTGTGTGTGTGACACGTAGTGTTTTCTCTGAGTTTCTGTAAAGGAAGTTATCAGAGTCTCGGGTTTCAGGAGACGAAGACCAAAAGGACAATCATGAATATTTTAAGCCTTGGGAAATGTGGGAGGAGAGAAGGCTCTTTGAGAGACTATCTCCCCGTGGAGGCTGAGAGATGATGCTCTTTGAGAATCTTTCTCCAGGGATAATGCTGACAATAATAAGGGGGAAAAAATACAGAATTATTTTGAGCTGTGTTCTGGTAGAGGTAAATAAAGGCGCAAGGGAGAGGGGGGGCGGACCCCATCTAACCCACCTCCGGTGAGAATAACTCAAAGATAGCGGAATATCTTACGTAATCTGCCTAGGTATCTTACTAGTGAACGTAAGATATTGGAATTTTCAACAAAATATCGTTAATTAGTTTATATCAGATGAAGTATGTATTGTACAGAGATGTAATTCCCGTTGACCCCTTTGTGTCCTAGTTCCTGGGCCTTGTGTGAACATACGTGTTCTTGAACCATCCTCCACACGCTGGACAATAAACTGGTTGCTTCGGCAGACCAAAATCTAAATCTGTGTAACATGGCTGGTTAATCTTTAGCCTGATTTCCAATGCAATTTAAGCAATGGTAAATATCAATACGCGTTCACCTGTGTCTTGATGTATTTACGACTATATTTTCTAATACAGAATAAAACTATAGCAAACGTCCAATATCGACTTGACGACTAGAAGTTTGCTGACGACTGTTACCCTTAGTGTGTCTCAGAAGTAACCAGAGTGACATCATAGCTCTAGTCTAAACAGTACGCTAGTTGACCTCTGATGTAACTTATAACCCCAGTGTCAGAGTAAACATTTGATGACCTAGGAACGTGCCTTTCGTGACGTTGTAACCTCAGTTGACCTCCGGTGACGCTAGAAATTTCTCCATGTAACCTTAGTAGCGGCACATGTTATCTTGTAATGACGCCCAGAAAGTGTCTTTCCTGACGTTGTAACTCTGTTGTCTCAATTGACCTCTGACCTCTGTCCCAGGTCGGCCTACACCCGAAGTAACGTGGTGGCGAGGGTCAGTCCTCCTCAGTAACAGCAGCAGCAGTAGCAGCAGCAGCAGTAACAGCCAGCTGCTGAGCCCCGAGGGTTCACCTGGCCGCCTCTCCGCAAGCACCACGCCCACGGGGATGGGCGTGAAGCAGGTGCGGGCGGAGTTGAGCATCCCCGCCCTCACAAGAGACTACCTACACGCCAACCTCACTTGCCGGGCCTCCAATAACAACATTACTGAACCTCTCTCCACCTCCCTCAACCTCCTTCTCTATTGTGAGTACCAACCTGGTGTGTTTATGAGTAACCTCGTGTTGTGTGCGTCTTCTGTGAGTAACCCCGTGTTGTGTGTCTTCTGTAGCACCATGTTATAAGTAACACCAACCACGTGGTTATGACGGCTGTCTTCTGTATACAGTCTTTGCAACACTAATGCACCTTTTGGAAAATACATTTCTTCTCCTTCTTCCTTGTATATTGTCTGTGGCGTCACACCCCAGGTTGTATTCCTTGTCCGGTCTTCTCATCACGTTCCACTTGTCAAGACTGGGATACGATGCAAAGGAAACTTTCGATTGGGCAACGTTTCGCCAAGGGTAGAGTTTTATCAAAGTCATTAATATAATTGTTGTTATAACGAGTCCTCTTTCCTCCTCCTCATCTTCCTATTCTTCCTCCTCTTTGTATCCAGAGACAGTGGTACTGCCTCCTTGCTTATTTTTTTTAATTTCTTACTTGTATGGCCCACACCTCCTCTAGTGCCACCTCAAGTGGATGGCACACACACTTTTAAAACCGACAAGTTGAAGACTGAGACACTGTGGGGCGAAACGTTTCTTCAAAAAAGACTTCCATATATTGCATAAGTGTCTCAATCTTCAACACACACTTGCAACTTGGACAAGTGTGTGTGGGTAGCACACATCCAGTTCGGGTAACACGTACCCACAGTGTACCCATCTCCCCTCTCATCCTCTGGCATAACTTTCTCAACAGTGTGTAGCAGCAGAGTAAATTCTGGTACGCTGCTGCTTAGGAAAAACCTTAATTATATCGCGGGTAAATATATTTGTACCAGTATACAACGTGCCGGGGGGAGGGAAGAAGATGCCGCAGGGATTGAAGTAACAGGTGCCGCAGGGAAACGTGCCACAGGGAAGGATGCCGCAGGAAAGGTGCCACAGAGAAGGAAGCCACAGGGAAGGATGCCTCAGGGAAAGGTGCCACAGGGAAGGATGCCAGAGGGAAGGATGCCGCAGGGAAAGGTGCCACATGGAAGGATGCCGCAGGAAAGGATGCCACAGGAAAGATGCCACAGGGAAGGATGTCACAGGGAAGGATGCCGCAGGGAAAGGTGCCACAGGGAAGGATGCCACAGGGAAAGGTGCCACAGGGAGGAATGCCACAGGGAAAGATGCCACAGGGAAGGATGCCACAGGGAAGGATGCCACAGGGAAAGGTGCCACAGGGAAGGATGCCACAGGGAAGGATGCCGCAGGGAAGGATGCCGCAGAGAAAGGTGCCACAGGGAAGGATGCCACAGGGAAGGATGTCACAGTGAAGGATGCCACAGTGAAGGATGCCACAGGGAAGGATGCCACAGGGAAGGATGCCACAGTGAAGGATGCCACAGGGAAGGATGCCACAGCGAAGGATGCCACAGGGAAGGATGCCACAGGGAAGGATGCCACAGGGAAGGATGCCACAGGGAAGGATGCCACAGGGAAGGATGCCACAGGGAAGGATGCCACAGTGAAGGATGCCACAGGGAAGGATGCCACAGGGAAGGATGCCACAGGGAAGGATGCCACAGGGAAGGATGCCATAGGGAAGGATGCCATAGGGAAGGATGCCACAGGGAAGGATGACACAGGGAAGGATGCCACAGGGAAGGATGCCACAGTGAAGGATGCCACAGGGAAGGATGCCACAGGGAAGAATGTCACAGTGAAGGATGCCACAGGGAAGGATGCCACAGGGAAGGATGCCACAGGGAAGGATGCCACAGGGAAGGATGCCACAGGGAAGGATGCCACAGTGAAGGATGCCACAGGGAAGGATGCCACAGGGAAGGATGCCACAGTGAAGGATGCCACAGGGAAGGATGCCACAGGGAAGGATGCCACAGTGAAGGATGCCACAGGCGTCTCGGGTAAAACTGTGAAAGCGGCAGACTGGTGAAAAATGTAACGAAAATAACACTGGGTGAAAATAATAATTTCACTGTAAACCAACTGTAATGAACGAGGCGAGTGTTTGTACACTGAGTGAAGATAGTTGTTAGTGACCCAAGTGTTTGTACACTGAGTGTAGATGGTTGTTAGTGACCCAAGTGTTTGTACACTGAGTGAAGATGGTTGTTAGTGACCCAAGTGTTTGTACACTGAGTGAAGATAGTTGTTAGTGACCCAAGTGTTTGTACACTGAGTGTAGATGGTTGTTAGTGACCCAAGTGTTTGTACACTGAGTGAAGATAGTTGTTAGTGACCCAAGTGTTTGTACACTGAGTGAAGATGGTTGTTAGTGACCCAAGTGTTTGTACACTGAGTGAAGATAGTTGTTAGTGACCCAAGTGTTTGTACACTGAGTGTAGATGGTTGTTAGTGACCCAAGTGTTTGTACACTGAGTGAAGATAGTTGTTAGTGACCCAAGTGTTTGTACACTGAGTGAAGATGGTTGTTAGTGACCCAAGTGTTTGTACACTGAGTGAAGATGGTTGTTAGTGACCCAAGTGTTTGTACACTGAGTGTAGATGGTTGTTAGTGACCCAAGTGTTTGTACACTGAGTGTAGATGGTTTTTAGTGACCCAAGTGTTTGTACACTGAGTGAAGATAGTTGTTAGTAACCCAAGTGTTTGTACACTGAGTGTAGATGGTTGTTAGTGACCCAAGTGTTTGTACACTGAGTGAAGTTGGTTGTTAGTGACCCAAGTGTTTGTACACTGAGTGAAGATGGTTGTTAGTGACCCAAGTGTTTGTACACTGAGTGTAGATGGTTGTTAGTGACCCAAGTGTTTGTACACTGAGTGAAGATGGTTGTTAGTGATCCAAGTGTTTGTACACTGAGTGAAGATGGTTGTTAGTGACCCAAGTGTTTGTACACTGAGTGAAGATGGTTGTTAGTGACCCAAGTGTTTGTACACTGAGTGAAGATGGTAGTTAGTGACCCAAGTGTTTGTACACTGAGTGTAGATGGTTGTTAGTGACCCAAGTGTTTGTACACTGAGTGAAGATGGTTGTTAGTGACCCAAGTGTTTGTACACTGAGTGTAGATGGTTGTTAGTGACCCAAGTGTTTGTACACTGAGTGATGATGGTTGTTAGTGACCCAAGTGTTTGTACACTGAGTGAAGATGGTTGTTAGTGACCCAAGTGTTTGTACACTGAGTGTAGATGGTTGTTAGTGACCCAAGTGTTTGTACACTGAGTGAAGATGGTTGTTAGTGACCCAAGTGTTTGTACACTGAGTGAAGATGGTTGTTAGTGACCCAAGTGTTTGTACACTGAGTGAAGATGGTTGTTAGTGACCCAAGTGTTTGTACACTGAGTGTAGATGGTTGTTAGTGACCCAAGTGTTTGTACACTGAGTGAAGATGGTTGTTAGTGACCCAAGTTTTTGTACACTGAGTGAAGATGGTTGTTAGTGACCCAAGTGTTTGTACACTGAGTGAAGATAGTTGTTAGTGACCCAAGTGTTTGTACACTGAGTGAAGATGGTTGTTAGTGACCCAAGTGTTTGTACACTGAGTGAAGATGGTTGCTAGTGACCCAAGTGTTTGTACACTGAGTGAAGATGGTTGTTAGTGACCCAAGTGTTTGTACACTGAGTGAAGATGGTTGTTAGTGACCCAAGTGTTTGTACACTGAGTGAAGATGGTTGTTAGTAACCCAAGTGTTTGTACACTGAGTGAAGATGGTTGTTAGTGACCCAAGTGTTTGTACACTGAGTGAAGATGGTTGTTAGTGACCAAGTGTTTGTACACTGAGTGAAGATGGTTGTTAGTGACCCAAGTGTTTGTACACTGAGTGTAGATGGTTGTTAGTGACCCAAGTGTTTGTACACTGAGTGTAGATGGTTGTTAGTGACCCAAGTGTTTGTACACTGAGTGTAGATGGTTGTTAGTGACCCAAGTGTTTGTACACTGAGTGTAGATGGTTGTTAGTGACCCAAGTGTTTGTACACTGAGTGATGATGGTTGTTAGTGACCCAAGTGTTTGTACACTGAGTGAAGATGGTTGTTAGTGACCCAAGTGTTTGTACACTGAGTGTAGATGGTTGTTAGTGACCCAAGTGTTTGTACACTGAGTGAAGATGGTTGTTAGTGACCCAAGTGTTTGTACACTGAGTGAAGATGGTTGTTAGTGACCCAAGTGTTTGTACACTGAGTGAAGATGGTTGTTAGTGACCCAAGTGTTTGTACACTGAGTGTAGATGGTTGTTAGTGACCCAAGTGTTTGTACACTGAGTGAAGATGGTTGTTAGTGACCCAAGATTTTGTACACTGAGTGAAGATGGTTGTTAGTGACCCAAGTGTTTTTACACTGAGTGAAGATAGTTGTTAGTGACCCAAGTGTTTGTACACTGAGTGAAGATGGTTGTTAGTGACCCAAGTGTTTGTACACTGAGTGAAGATGGTTGCTAGTGACCCAAGTGTTTGTACACTGAGTGAAGATGGTTGTTAGTGACCCAAGTGTTTGTACACTGAGTGAAGATGGTTGTTAGTGACCCAAGTGTTTGTACACTGAGTGAAGATGGTTGTTAGTAACCCAAGTGTTTGTACACTGAGGAAGATGGTTGTTAGTGACCCAAGTGTTTTTTACACTGAGTGAAGATGGTTGTTAGTGACCCAAGTGTTTGTACACTGAGTGAAGATGGTTGTTAGTGACCCAAGTGTTTGTACACTGAGTGTAGATGGTTGTTAGTGACCCAAGTGTTTGTACACTGAGTGTAGATGGTTGTTAGTGACCAAGTGTTTGTACACTGAGTGTAGATGGTTGTTAGTGACCCAAGTGTTTGTACACTGAGTGTAGATGGTTGTTAGTGACCCAAGTGTTTGTACACTGAGTGAAGATGGTTGTTAGTGACCCAAGTGTTTGTACACTGAGTGAAGATGGTTGTTAGTGACCCAAGTGTTTGTACACTGAGTGAAGATGGTTGTTAGTAACTCAAGTGTTTGTACACTGAGTGAAGATGGTTGTTAGTGACCCAAGTGTTTGTACACTGAGTGAAGATGGTTGTTAGTGACCCAAGTGTTTGTACACTGAGTGAAGATGGT